CAAAGATTGGGAGAACACAGAAATAGTTGTAAATAAAGCTGGATCCAACAGCCAGAAGTGGTCGAACACATGGTAGAAACTGGACATGAAATAGAATGGTATCTGACTAGTAGGCTTGCAGAATATGGTGCATCTGTGGCTAAAAGAAAAATAAGAGAGGCTATTGAAATTAATAGTTTAGAAAATACGTTGAATGTTAGGAATGGTGGTAAAAAGTTGAATAGGAACTACTTATGCCTGATTGATAGAGGGTGAGCCGCCATCCAAACTAACGCGACTTAACTTTTCTGCTCGTTGATGGTTCTAACTTCACTCACACTCGTCCAACATGTTAGAGTAAGCTCATCAACTAAACCAGACGTGCCAGATTACACAGCCCTATTCGTTCCTTTTCTCGGGTGGTTAGACGTTAATGTTCCTAGTCTGAGAGGTTAGGACAAGTGGTTTCGTAACTTGACTTACATGCTTACAAGCTCATATCTCATTATCTCAACCATACTTGCTTACGGATTTACGCAGTTTCTGTCAAGGCTTTCTCTTGGATCATTAGGCCTTGATGATCAGAGCCTGAGGTTAACCTTTTGACAACTCTGATTTATGAATGATATTGCGTATAGACACAACGCACACACTTGAACACAATTAACAGGACAAGTACGAAAGATAATTAACAAAACCACTGCATATCGATTTATCTAGATTTTTGATTTTCTTTTGGCTTAATTGAATCTATATATAAGAGGTACGATAGATTCGGATAGTGTTCTTGCCCTAGCGTTAATGTGAGATTCTTACAAGAATGACACCCAGCTCTAATGATGCCCATCATATGATGGACGAAAGCTCAGCACGTTTTCACCCGAAACAAGGGAGGAAGTCTCGTGGACTGAGTCAACATGAATATCGTATAGAAGCCAAACGACTGCTGTATAACTATATTTATCCGTCCTCGACCAACGAATCTCTTCTTCATGCACTTTAATGCGAAATGAAAGTCCCCCCAGCAAAAATTTTGACCAAATAATCTTGATCTTCTCACCTACACTTAAACTTTTTTGCTTATTTTAATTCTTTTTTCGTTAGTGAGTAGGCTTTCAATATATTTTTATTTATTTATTTATATTCTGCAAAGCGTTTTCTATCTCCATCCTTTTTCAACCGGCATTAGGGTCTTGATAAAGAATGGCCTTCACTTTCCTGTTTGGTGCTTCATTTGACGGTGATGCCCGAGATGTTACCTTGCCCTCTACGCCTTCCACGTGATGCCGCCAACCCAGCCTTCTCACCCTCTGACCAGGCTCTGCCAGCTGGTATAAACCAATGTAATAGCCATGGTCATGCTCATCTCGAACAAGCCATCGGTTTGTCGCATTTTCGACCGATAGCCTCTGCCATAGGAGGGGGACCTGGAGTAGTTTTGGCTGGTGCCGGACGTCAGCTGTCGACGGCTCTCACTACTAATGATGGACTCTTTGGTGTGATTCCTGATGCATTAGCAATGACCTTCGCATCAACGAATGTTGAGGAGGAGGACGATGATTACCATCGTCTTTCTGATTTTTCTTCAATCATGGCAGATCTCCAGTTACATTCACGTGGTCCGCCTCGCCGCCTTCCTTCTACAAAAGGTTCCCTTCAGTTTGTCCCGGCCAACAATGAAAATCGATGAAGTAGAGTTTTCTTACGAATTTCTCTGCCATCCAACTATGCTCTTCTATACTCCTTTTGTTTATTACACATTTTTTGTCTCAATTTGTCTCCTCTTCCATTATATTTCAGACAGGGCCGATTCACAGCTTTTATTCCTACCCATTTGAACACCATTTCGCTTCCTTATTTCTTCATTTATTCTTATTTTCAACATTCTTTAGTAGTATCACTTACTAAGGAGATACACTACCTTAATCATAGTCAGCCAGTGCTCATTTTGAGATCACCTGGTCGATCACATCTGCTCGTTTAAATTTTAATTTTTGTCCACAGCTCTGATGTCACTTAAACCAATTATTTATGAATTTACATTCTACCGTTAACTGCTAAGCGAGATTTGAGGAGCATCAAGATTGAACATGTATTATGATGTTCATCATGTGATGCCCCGATTGTTCTTTTTTCTTTACATTATCTAACGTGCTGTGTCTGATGTTTTTGTTTAGCATGTGCGTAACCAGCTGTCTATACCCTGCATTTAGTGTGCTTCTTTAGGTATTTATTTTTAGCTCTGGGTGAATTTTAGGGCATCCTTGCAAGCGAATTCATCATTATTTTTGGAGAAGATGATCCTTTTATTCAAGCAATGAAATTCATTTAGGTGCTTCCTCAATGCCCTGGAAGCCGGTCTTAGTTCCCAAAAAATTATGCCCATTATCTTTTTGTCTAAATGACCCTATGCTAAACGGTGTAATTTATAATCACTCCTATGTATTTATCTAGTCTTTAGGTCAGGCTTTATTATATCGATGGTATGCCACTAACTAGTTTGCGAAAAGATCGATGAATTTGTCTCATTTTTAGATCTTAAAAAGGTTATTTGAATTTAATCTATTGCTTTTTTCAATTCTCTGAAGTTTGTATTAACCGCTTAAATTTCTAAGATATGAACCTCTTGTATATTGTCTCTTCTATTCTTGACAACAGCAAGCCATGGTTGATTAACACTTCTGATCCATCCCATATCTTCCTCACTTGGAGCAGCCTATTGACTGGCTCTGTGCTCGCTCATCGCGGCACTCGATTAAAATTATATATATTTGTCAATGTGTGTGCCTGTGTGAGTCTGGTTATTTTGTAAGTCAGTATCGAGTTATTTTATTGTCTGATAGAACATCTCCATTTAGCTTTTATCTTTTATGCGACCATATGCTTCCGTTTGATCTCATTTATACATCTTCACGTCATTCGTTTACAAAATTTTGGTTTATATTTTTTTCTTCATCCATCTTAGTCGGATCGGCAATACTGATGTATTTGTAACTTCTTTGCTCAAACTAATCTGGAATATAAACTATAATTTTTCCTTTTATTTTCGTTTTTAGACAGGCATTCCTTATAGGCTTCTTAGTTTTCACATGTATTAGCATACCCTCATGTACCTGTAACCCGGTGCCTTACCCTAGATATAATTATATCCATTTCTTTATTAATTACTTCTAAATGTATGGACAAAGTATAGATGTGGTCTCTCCTTAAGTCCTACCTTTTTCATGGAAATATACTTTCTGCATCATAAATCCGGTGTAAATCTGTCCTGATCTTCTTATTATATTGTTTTCTCTTTTTTAACTTCCTTTTCATTAACTTTGTAAACTGATACTTTGTGCTCACTTTTCTTTTTTCCTCTTTATTTTTGGGCCCATACTTTCTCATCCAGACGCTTCCATTGCAAGTTATGTTATGCCATCTCGGGAGCAGTTACCCCTAGCCAGATTTTTTTCATAGTTTATTTACGTTCTAGTATTGAGTCTTTGGCTTACCCTTTTTGCAGGGATATCTAGGTTATTTTTGGTGCTTTTGCTTTTTAATGCATCTACCTGGATCCGAAACCATTCCTTTGCTTAGTAAGCCCTCATTTTCTCCCAAGACCGGTGATTAAGTAATGACGGTTTTAGACTGCTATGAATTTCCCTGATTTTATTTGAAAGCTAAATTATTTCCACTAAATCACTTTCATGAGTGGAGATATTTGATCTTCTAGCATATATATATATATATTATATATATATACCTTTGCATGTACATATATTTTTCTTTTAAGTCAGCATTTAGTGTGCAGATTATTCACCTAGTACCTAGCTAATTAGTACTTGGCATATTTTGCTCTACTTTGCTTTTATTTTTTTAAAATACCAATCACCCATTCTTGGAATGTACCAAACGCTTACTTTTTATTAATCTATCGGACCTATTTCGATCATTGGCTAGTATTTCCTAAATTGTTACAAAAGCGTTTGAAAAACAAATGACATTTTCTTTCTTTTATGCGCATGCACTCATTATCAGATTTTGGAGCCTATAAATAATGTGCACTTTAAATCGTTTTACTCTGCATCTCAGAGGCTGCTTTCCCTTGTCTGACCAAAACCTATATTCCAATTTCAATCATTCTTTTCACCGACTAGTGGCTTTTGTCCCACCATACAGAGGAGGAAGCTATGCAATTTATAAGCCCAATGCTCGTATACTCGCTAATTATTCTGGTGGCCTCACTTCTGCAATCTGCTCTCCCAATAGACGATTTTTTTTCCTTTATTAAAATTATTCAACTTAATACGTTCAACTGCGCTCACTTTGTTTAATGTTTCTTTTTGAGCGCTTACATTACAGTGTTGCAATAATTTCTGCCACTTCTATTTCGTTATTTCTTGCCTCTGCATTTTTATTTGATTAGAGTTTGCTTTTTTTTCAATCAGCTCATTTTCGCGAGTAAAGTCTTTCCTTGTCCTAAGATAATCTATACTTCTACTTT